TGTTAATACTACTTGTGCTTAAGGCAAATAACACTGTATTGCCTGTGCTTTACTTCAGAAGAAGAAGAAACTAAATGTTATTTTTATAAGCTACCTATTGGAAATTATACATTAGCATAACATCAGAATATTTAGTTATGGCTACAAAGCATGGTGACACTTGAAGATATTAGTCCTCGAGTTATAACCATTTGTTCAGTGACCATTCAAAGATGGTGCTGATCAAAAGGTCTTATGATCAGTCCTCAAAGTTCCAGCTGTTGCAGCACCCCCACAGTCATGTGAGCAAAATTCAGGAGCTTGGCAACCAGCTCACACTTATGACCAGTTGAAGCGTCCCGTTGTCATGTGATCACCATTTGTAACCTTCCCTCCTGGCTTCCCACAAGCAAAGTCAATCAAGAAGCCAGCAGGGAAAGTTGCAACTTGCTTGGGTAAGTCTCCCTGCCCCTTTCTTTGCTCACATGCACCATACCCTCCTTTCTCCCTTCGCTTGTATACATCGCATGCCCTCCTTCCCAGGCCTTCTTACATTCACGAACCCTGCACCCTCCTTCTGTGCTCTCCCTGTGCATGTGCACCACCGCAGCACCCCTTCGCTCAATTCATGTATGGTCTGTGCCAGGCCTCCCAGGGCTTTCCCCATCCCCCACAGCACCCCCACTTGTAATCCGGGACTCCCGCTGCTTCCTGATTAATGACCTGCATGTCTCGTCTTGGAGTTACAAGGGCAATTGGGACTGCCTGGATTGCCATCACTAAACAATGTGGTCACGTGCCGTTGTGTGTTACAGCTGCATCGCTTAGCAACGGCAGTTCCGGTCCTCATTGCTGTCATAACAGGAGGACTACCTGTACTTTAATCCTGAACTCTGAAATGTTATCATAATATGTGTTAATAGTGTCTTGAGCTCTTGTATGAAATGTGGATCTTCCATGGGCTTTGCTATTTTATAGGAAGGCCCTTCAGGCTATATTTGAATTAGCTTTAAAAAGTCTACCATTTAGTTTTATGAAAGTTTAAAAAGGAATTGACATCAGCAGCTCATAGCTCCCATCCATGTTTCAGGCTCTGCCTGCAACTAAAAGCTTGACTTGAATATGAAGGGACTCTTTAATTATTAGTCTTTTCCTCCCTAAACTTATAATTAGTCTCAAGATGATGTTATCAGAATATGTCTATATGGAAAACCAGTTTAAAAATATCATGTCTGTGTTATCAGTTGTCATATATTATCTTGTTAGTCCCAAAGTTGGCCTCAGTATTGCCTATTTATTCAATATTTACTATGCTTATGTGATATTCCCAAAAATACAGAGTGGGGAGGGAAGGAAAGCTCATCAAATATCAGATATAATTTAATAATATAATTTTTAAATAAGAAGAGAAAATCAAACTTCTTACTGATAGAAAAAATACATTGTTTTTTGAATACTATTTTTTCTATTTTTTCATATTTGATAGATTTCTCCTGTTTATTTCTACAGTGCAGTGTCCTCTTGAATGTGCTTATTGAAATATAACTTGGAATAAAACGTAATGAGTACATATATAGCAATTGTAGGTATTATTCTAGTATAATATATAAACCTGTTGAATATATTAATTAAGTAGCAGAGGAAATAGAGACAGGAAATTCAATAGTCTTACATCATCATTCAGTTAAATAATAAACTAGCATCATTCAGATTAATATTTTCTTTTATATAACTATATCACTAGGTTCATTTTCTGGCCAAAATATATGTCTTAACCTGGAATTTTCCCATAGAGTCAGAAACATGCACTGGCTTTTGATTGAGCTTGTAAGGTGATACCAGTAAAAATTGCACTATATTGTATGCCTTCTGAAGTGCCAAACAGATGAGACAGAAGATTAGTACTACATTTGAAATAAGAACGTGCAGGAGCCGTCCGTATATTTGCCTTCTAGATCTGCCAAGTTTTTTTTCTCACTTTCCTTTTCTGATACAGGGAATGTGAGGAATGGGCCTTTGAAAGGGGCAGCTGAGAGTAACATCTGTTGTAACTGTTAAATTCATGTTTACTTATGACCTGGGTCAAGAATTGAAGTGAGTTCAAATAACAAGTAATGCAAATTCACAGCCCAGCCCATAGTTTCCTGACCTTTCAAGCAGCACACATTTTTTGTACTTTCTAAAAGGCTAAAATGCTGTTTTCAGCTCAACCATTCTGCACTTTTCGTATCTGATGAGAAAACAAATATATATAAAAATTTACATATAATATATAACAATTAGCTCTCATGTTGTTTTAAAACAAAAAGAATAGCAAATGCAGATGCAAAAATAAGATTTTATTTTTAACTGACTAGTAATTGGCCTCGTCAATCGTATAGTTACCCTGAAACCTTTTATTATTTTTGTCATTTTTGAGATACTCTGACTATAGAGCCTGTACAATATAATAAGCTATCCTGAACTATATCAAACATCATACGAAAAATGACCAGGGCCTTTTGAGAGAACCACCTCTGAAAGGTCAAAACATAATAGATAGAGAACTCTGAAGGAATATGAAATATTGGGGGAATGTTATTGGTTTTTCAGTCTCATAATGATACGGACAACTAAACTTCTTTCCACATTCAGTGAATGTGTGGAGGGGGGAGGGGGGAAAAGAAATTGTGTCAGTTGTCCCCACCTTTGATCTCATAATGGTTTGAATACAGCCTGCAAACATACTCTGTATACTGGCATGCATCAGGCATCCTGCTGATATGTACTGAACTTGTTTATGTACGCTTGTTTCCTAAGTTCAAACCTTCCAGTGAAAATTGTATGATCATCATATAGAAGAAAAGGAACAATAGGTGCAATTCTAAGCCCTGCTTTACATATTTACCCAAAAGTGCATGTAAATTGGCCAATCCCTTGTTTTTCCACTCTCGCTATAATTACTAAGGCCACAAAAAGGAAACTACATCTTAACCCATGCTTGAAATATTTGAGCAGACATATGAGGGGTATTTTACTGCAGGACAGGAATTTATAATATAGAAAGTAGAGAATCGGTTTATGAGAAATGGATCATAGTAAGAAAGAGAACCTGCAGCTTATGCTTTGCAGGATATGCTTTGGGTGGAGAACATATTTGGATTCTAGAACCTTCAGTTAAAAGGGTCAGAGACCAGATGGTGAGAAAATCTCCACCTGAGGTAATCTCTCCACTAAAATAATTTAATTCTGGATTAAATGGACAGGAAGTCTGACCTGAAAAACAAGACATGCTGGATTAGACTGAAGCCTATCTTAATCCAGCATTATGATTCTCAAAGTGGCCAACAGACTTTTTAGCATTCTCACTGATTGCTTTCCAACCAATGTTCCCTTGTATATTGTCTCCATCAAGGTGACATTCAGTCTTAAAGACTGAGAGCACTTGATAGATCTGTCCTCCATGAATACATCCAAATCACTTTTAAAATCCTGCCAATTAATGATTATCATTACATCTGCTTTTAATGTATAGTGCCATTTCCTGTATAAGAATAGTAGACAAATTCAGTTTATCAACAGTGCATACATAACGGTATAATGCCGTTTGGGTGACAGCTCTCACAGTCTTTCCCTGAAGCACTGTCATTGTGTTCAGTAAAATTTCATTCCAACCATTGTTACTGGTGCTCTGATATATACTATTTAGAGTTGTTCAGACTGATAATAAACCTGCAGCTCCAAGGTTCTTCAGAGCACTGAACTTGCTTTAATTTTCAGAATTCCTCCACAATTTGCCACAAAATTATAATTTTAATGTGGTAGAAGAGGAAAAAACAGCTTTTGGTTTTCAGTGTTTTTCAGAGGATTTTATATAGCTTTGTTTTTTTGTTTTTGTTTTACTTCCTGAGTTATTCTCTTAATATAATTGAACAGATTTTATCTTGGCAGCATTAGCTGTCAGTCTACCAAAGCAGGGCTCGGCAATCTAAATCTTAGCCCCTCAACTTCACACAGCTTATCTTGGCTACTAGGCTCAAACTTGTCTGAAGTCTCTTAGACACACAACATGGCACAACTAGATAAGAAATCTTAGAATGAAGCTTATTGAACACTGATTACCCTCAGACAGTGTGAGAATGCGGTTTGCCTTTGATACCCATAGCTATTTAAACCCATTGTTTCTTTTTCCCACATTTCAGTGGATTCTTCGCCCTGCACTTCATGACCTGAAGCTGAATGGTTATCAGTTATTGACGTAACTGGCATCTCTAGCCTAAGAACTGCTGGCTTTAGGTTTATGTCTCACACCTACTATGTTGTAAGCGTAGTATTTAATGCATCTGATACCCTTATTTGTAGGCCTAGTGAATCTGATCATCAGTTTATACATTTCTGCATCATCTAGCCGTAAACTGAATTAAATGAATTAATCTGAAAATAAATTACATTGATTTCAATGCCTCTTAAGTAGTCACACCAAACTCCCCTGCTCAGCTCTTTGAAATTCAGTCTTGTCTTGGGACTTGCACTCAACCAGGGTCTGGACCCAACTGCCCATTGTTAAAGTCAGGATCCACCTACCAAATCTAGCTAGTTGCAGGACTTTCCTTAGGTGGCTGACAGTCTGCTGGTCCCCCAAATGCAGGCTGGCAAACCAACAGGTTTTCCACTCCAGTTTTAAAATCCAAGGAGTCAATGACTCAGAGACAGCCCAGGATTCTAAAGATGTACTTTGTGCTCAGGAATCCGTAATCCATTTGGTTTTCCTTCCATCTCTATACAGTACATATAACTCTGTAATTATGTATTTTATTAATCTAATTGTATTTATTGCTTTTCTCATTTGTTTTTAGTAGAAATATTTTAGCTGTTTTAAATGGCTTTTATTTTATTTCCATGCTGATGTAGGGGTGAGTGTATATATGGTTGGGGGGGGGAGTTCTTTTTAGCAGAAGTGAATTTACAAATGACATGAAATGATGAATTCTACACTTGCTTATTGAAGCATCATCTCCTTTCTTTAATGTTTCTTCCTCAAGGAAACTGGCTAAAAAGCGAAAGGAGACATTGAGTAGCACACGACAGGAAATGACAGTGATGGTGAACTCAATGGATAAAAGCTATGCTGAACAAGGCACCAACTGTGATGAAGCTTTCTCTTTCATGGACACACACAATCTAAATGGGAGATGTAAGTTGAAATCATTTTAATTTCTGTAGAGCAAATAGAAAAGGGAAGTGTAAAAGGCTCTTAAACGCTTGTTACTCAGTTAGTCCATGGGCAGACTGTTGACCCATCCATGGACTCCAAAATCTCACACTGTGCAACATCTCACATCATATATCTGGGAGATAGAATAGAGTCTTTAATAAAGATAATTTTGCATTTCTGCCTTTCTCGTGCTTCCACATAAAACCACTGACATCAGTGCAGCAGGTGTTCCATTCAATTTCCTCATTTATTGTATAATGCTGCCTGATAGCCTTCATGTTTTGGGGGCCATTTTAAAGAAATGTCATAATGTTTGAATGGTGGTTCTTTAGCTACAACTGACAAATTTCAGAGTTCCTACTATAAGAGAATTCAGTAAATTAATAGTTGTTTTGGAGCTATATTTATCCAGATTTGGATAAATATGGCTCCAAAAAAACTATTAATTGTTGTTTTGAGTACAAGAGTAAAATGGTATTTAAGGTTAGATTCCATAATGCTTTCCTCTATAGTTCCCTTTTTTTTCTCAGGAAGATTAAAGCAGTATATATAGGAAGCTGCCTTACCCAAGGTCAGACAATTTTTCCATCTAGCCAGTATGGACTATTTCAACTATCCCCAGAATAGTACAATCCCAATGTGTAAGAGACTGCAACTTCCATAGAATTCTGAGTAATGCCTCCCCAACCCATGAGTATATATGGTAAGGTATAGCTGATCTATTCTGACTGACAGCAGTTTTCCCAGATCTTAGGTAGTGATCTTTAAACAGATCTCAGCTTTGCTATTTGAAATCTATTCAACTGAAGATGCCAGGAAATGAATTAGAGTCCCTCTTTGGACTCATTCGTTGCTATACTATATTTAGAAGAAGGCATAAACTATACAAAAGTATTTTTACTACTAGTTTTTAAAAAAGAGAAGGAAAAAAATGCAGCCATGAATTAAAATATAATATGCATATAAACTATAGTGCAATAACCCCAAGGAAGAGGATTCAAAAGCATCTATTAGGGCTGTGAAATGCTCTACATTATATTGTAAAAAGACGCCTTGGAACACTTAGGTGCATGAACACAGCACTTGTTTGTAACTAATTAAAGGAGCCACATCTGTTATCTGGATCATATGGCTACAGTAGAAACCTATTCACAACAGCCACATGATTCTGAAAAAGGATACATATTAAATGTCCTTTAGTTCAGTGGATCTTTGTAAATTAATGGGTATAAGATTGTAGCCTAATATAAAGCTTTTTTGGACTAAGTCCTTTCTCAACATTGCCTTTAGCAGCTTGTGGTTTTTTCCTGCACTGTTCCTTCCAGTATCACTGGGGAGAAATCCATACTGCATCTCCATTTTATGATAGATGATCCAGGTGTGGCAAGATATATACCAGATTGAGGCAAAGAGTTCCTAATTGCAGAAGGCACTTACAGAGCATGCAAGAAAATGAAAGAAACACAATATCTATCTAAGAAAACACAAAACATTTAAATAATACTAAGTTACACAAACACTATTGTTCATTTTTCATGGGACGTTTTCTCCACAAAATCATTTTGCTTATCAGATTTGACAATACTTATCATCTAAGGGGGTGACACAAATGTGCTGTTGTTTGCTAATGCCTTTGTTTAGGTTTACTACGTAGTGTTTTCTCTTTCCAGCTGTATCATCACCCTCTTCATTTACAATGAAAACAAACACCCTGAGTACGACAGTTCCCACTTCATATTACCCAGGTAACCAAATATTTCATTGGTTTTTAAATACTATAAATGGTTTACTTTTATAACAAATGGCTACCACAGAGAATGAGAAGCTCAAGCATATCTCTTATACACTCATCCAGCCATCATGTCTCCTCTAGGGTATTGTCGAAGGCTTTCACGGCCGGCATACGAAGGCTGGTGTGGGTCTTCCGGGCTGTGTGGCCGTGTTCTGGAAGTTTTGTT